AAAATTAAAATTAATTAATTTAAAATTAAATTTAAAATTAAAATTAAATTTAAAATTAAAAGTAGCCTTAAAATCTTCAGGGTTTTTTTCCCCCTCTCCATTTGCTATTTCTTCCTGTTTTTGCTATTTCTCCTGTGTGGAGATCGGTACAAACATCTCTTACATCACGGGTCATTTCCTTTTAGCTCCAACTCTGAGTCCTTATCCTCAGATGGGTGGAACAGCGATCCATACTAAGTTTTGAGTGGCACTTCTAAATTTTCCCAATGGACTTGTATTTTATAAGGAAAGATTTTTGTGCAGTTTCTGAGACAGAATTAACTTTAGGGAAATGTATTTAGAGGAATGCATTTTTTTTTATTCACACACGAAAAGCCTTAGGGGACCCCTAGGGAGGTTGGCTTCATGGAGCGCTGTCCAGGCTTGACACATCAGGGACGTCTGCAGGCTAACCGGCACTGATTTCTGCTCAGAAAGTTGTTTTCGTTGCCTCCACAGCCTCCGTAGCTAAACCGCTCGCACTTGCCGGATTTGATGTTATAGTGCCATCGCAGTTTGGAGGCTCGGCACTCACCCTTTTCCATAGGAAGTTTGCATATCGCTGGTAAGGGCTTTCTGTGTACTTGAAGAAGAAGAGTGGTTAAGGGGACCAAATCCATCACCACCCCTTTGCTACTCTCCCCTCTGCTGGCGGTTTCCAGGACCACAAGGTGCAAGGCCGAGGCCCTCCATGGCAGCCACCTCTTCCCACCCGAACTTCTCCATCTCAACAGAAGCCTAGGTTTGCAGTTCTGCAAGCCGTGAAACTCCCTTGCCTGGGATTTCGACGTAAGCCCTGCCACCCACGCACCCACGACTGCGTGAGGCTGTAGAGACGTCACATCTCCAAGTCTCCAGTTGGTTGTCTGTGAGGCCAAGGAGCTGAGCCCTGGATCTCCTTCGCCCCCTCAGAATTGATTTGCTGCAGTCAGACCCTGCAGGTCTCTGCCTTCTATCTCACAGTCTGTTCCAGAATGGACGGACTGCAGGGGAAGGGTGGGCCTTGGGTCTGAGAGCCGGGTTTCAAGTCTGACACAGTCATTTGCTAGCTGGTAACCCTGAATGAAGGACCTGTCTCTTCTACACTGAGTTTCTTGACCATAAGCTGGAGTGTAATGTTCACATTTTGGGGCTCATTGAGAGGTTAAAGAGAAGTAATGAGGGCTGGGGGTGGGAGTGACACACACGTCTAATCCCAGCATTCAGGAGAGGCAGAGGCAGGGGAATCTCTATGGGTTGGAGGCCAGCCTGGTCTACATAGAGAGTTCCAGGCCAGACAGAGCTGTATAATGAGACCCATCTCAACAAAATACAAAAATAGGGAACAAAACCAAACAAAAACAGCCAATAAGAAGCACTGATAAGTCCAAAAACTAAAAAATAAACAAAAAACAAAAAACCAATCACTGGATAATGGTGAACTGTCCCTAAGCATCTTCTTCTTCCTAAGCGACAAGACCTAGCAACACAAACCTCACATACTCTGTAGCCCTAGTTCCCAGTGCAGGGATGCCTCTGAGGTCTCAGCAAACACCCAACAAAGCCACAATAACCATGAGCTCCTCGTGCTAGAAGCTTCTTTGTATTTTTTACTATGTGAGATGTGTTTTGCAATTACTGTTTTATATGTGCATTCACATGTGTGTGTGTGGGTGGGTATATGTGTGTATGGGTGCATCTGTGTGTGTGTGTGTGTGTGTGTGTGTGTGAATGAGACACAACCATTGTTCTTATCTTCTAGAGGAAAAAAAAAACCCTGACATTCTAAGAGACCAGACAACACCTTTGAAGCTTAGATTTTTGTAGGTAGTAGGCCCAGCAACTGACCCCTGATGCTACTGACTTGGGGGGACCCAGAGTTTCTATATGCTAATAAGTGTTCCCCCACTGAGCTATATTCCAGCTCTGAATATTTGCAAAGGGAATCCTCCTGTTCACAAGAAGGTCTGAATACATCACATTCATGACTCTCCCTATCCACCTGCAGACTTTAAGGTGCAGCAGAGACAGTGGCCCAGGAAGGGGCCTGACCCTGTCAGGAAGACACATCAAAGCTGAGCATATACCTCCCCTTCTTGCTCTTACTTTGACCATCACAAGCCCAAACTTTCCTCTTCCAATGGCTCCTTCACTGTCTCTTGTGCTATGACATATGCTGTGTGCCTCCTCCCCCTACCCCTAGAATTTAAAGGCAGTGTCTTTGGCTGGTGGCTGTAACTCCAGCTGCTAGGATGGTGCCTGGCACACAGCAAATACCTGACTACGTCTGCCAGACCTGAACTGGCTCCTGTCCTGCTGGTCGAGAAACAGACTCTGTCCTGCAGGGTCCCTACTTGGTTCCTGGTCTACGTTGAGGCCTCCATTTCATACCAACCTTTACTTGGTTCTGAGCAAAGCTCTTGGCAGAAGGCGAGGATCAGGAAAACCAAGAAGGAGACCTGGAGCCGCATGGTGTCTGCCGGCAGTGGCGCAGTCTGGAGCTGTCTTATTCAGGGAGAGAAAGGCCTAGGAGGAGGAGCTGACTCTGTGTCCTGCTCACCAACCCCTAACTGCTGCTGCATGCCAGGGCTGGCTGCTGCAGGAACAGAGAGTCCCAGCAAAGCACAGCCTCTCTCTCCTCCAGGACATATCTGATCTGAACTCCGAAGTCGATGTGCCACCATGTCGGTCCTGAAGCTCCTTCAAAAGGAATGGGACAGCAGTTATTACCAGCGGTGTGCCTTTGCATTTCCAGCCACCTCACAAAACACACTGCACACACTGCTTGTCCGTGAAGTTTACACAGGGCCTGACTTGGGGGTCCTGACATCCAAGCTGGGCAGCTTACCTTTCCTGTAACTCCGGCTCCAAGAAAATCCAATGCGTGTGGCCTCAATGGGCACCTGTACACGGGTGAACGACTCCCTCCACATACACATATGTTATTAAAAGGAAATAAATCCTTGGAAAGGACAAGCCTGAGTTTCTCTGACGTCCTGTCCAACATATGTTCTCTTCTTTTCAAATGTGCTCCTGCCGTAATGCCACCAGTCACCCTGTGACACAGCTGATTGGGGTGGGGGTGGTGAAAGTCAAGCCTATGGGACCTCTCATCTTGGACTTTCAGTTTCCAATTGTCTGTCTGTCTGTCTATCTATTTATTATGTATACAGTGTTCTGCCTGTGTGTCTGCTTACAGGCCAGAAGAGGGCAGCAAATCTCATTATGGATGGTTGCTGGAAATCGAACTCAGGACCTCTGGAAGAGCAGCCAGTGCTCTTAGGCACCGAGCCACCTCTCCAGTCCGCCTCTCCACCCCCAGTTTCCAATTTTTTTTTTGATTAAGCAAACCCCTTTTTAAAATAAGCCATCCAGTCTCAGGCATTTTGTTATAGCAACAGAAAACACACAGAAGCACTCCATTTTGCAAGAAGATTCAACTGCTAAGTTTCAGAGCCAGAACTGTGTCACCGACCTGTTCAGCCCCAGTGATTTGTGCCACTTGGTCGTTAAAGAGACATTTCTCAAGTCTCTCACGTTGTGTTGATCCTACTGCCAGGTGCTGCCTCCATCACAACAGGGTGCCCCAGCGAGTTATGGGAACAACACACACGTGGTCAGAAGTCAGAACCTGTCATCTGGGTGGAGAAGGAGCAGATTCAGTGGATTTAAGAAGAATCACAAAAGTTCAGTATAAAAACAAGCTGTAGTTTGTGTTTGCCATCCCAGTAATTAGAGTCAGGGCAGGAGGATTACAAGTTCAAGGTCACCCTTTACTAAATAGTGAGTTCAAGGCCAGCCTAGGTCATATGAAACCCTGTTTGAAAAAATAGAAAAAGAATGAAAGTTTGTTTTTTAAAATCAATATATTCTTTTGTTTAAAAAGGGTTGTTTAATTTATTTGTTTTCTTTTTGTTTGTTTATTTTTGTTTTGATTTCTTTGGGTGTTTTGTTTTGTTTTGTTTTTCCTGACAGGGTTTCTCTGTGTAATCCTGGCTGTCCTGGAACTCACTCTGTAGATCAGGCTAGACTTGAGCTCAAAGATCTGCCTGCCCCTGCCTCCAAAGTGTTGGGGTCAAAGGTGTGAACCATCTCCTGGCTTATTTTTAGTTATGTGTGTATGCATGTGTTGAGGGGTATGTTCCTGTGAGTATGGGTGCCTGTGGAGGCTAGAGGCATTGGTCCCCCTGAGCTGGAGTTCCAGGTGGTTGTGAGCCTCTAACATGGGGGCTGGGAATTAAACTCAGGTCCTGGGTACGGGCTCTTAACTGCTGAGCCCCTCTTCAGCTCCTAAATTTGTGTATCCTTTCAGCAAAAATGCCTTTTAAGGTCTTTACTCATTTTTCCTTTCCTTTCCTTCCCTTCTTTATTTTTCTGTTCCTTGTTCCTTTTGTTTTGTGGTATGGAGGACTGAGCTCGGGGGCTTAGAAACTCTACCACCTAAGTTATTTTCTCAGCCCCATCTTTTGCCAACGTTCTTACTATATTAGTTGTGTGTTATTGACTTCTAGGAGTTCTTAATATACTATAATAGTTATTACTGATAGGTGTTACTGTCTTGATTTATTTGTTTTGGGGTAGGGTCTCACTATGTGAACCAGGCTAGCCCAGAACTCAGAGCTCTGCGTACTTCTGTCTTCTGAGCACTGTAATCAAAAGCCTGTGTCGCTCTGCCTGACTATTGTCTTTATTATTGCTTTTTATTTAGTTAGTTTTTGAGGCAGGGTCTTTTTGTGTGGCCTTGACTGGCCTGGAACTTGCTCTGTATACCAGGCTGGTCTCCAACACACAGAGCTCTGTCTGCTTCTGCCTCACTAATCCTGAGATTAAAAGTCTGTGCCACCATACGTGGTTGTTCTATTTACTTTCTCTCAATGATTTTTAAGCCCATGAGGATCATTTTTTTAATTAAATCATTTATTCTACATGTATGGGTCTCTTGCCTGCACATAGGTCTGTGCATCACATTCATGCCTGGTACCCGATGAGAACAGAAGAGGGAATGGATGCCCTGTAAGTAACTGGAGCTACAGAAAATTATGAGCTGCTAATATGGGTAATGAGAATTGAACCCAGGTCATCTGCAAGAGCAGCAAGTGCTCTTAACCACTGAGCCATCTCTCCAGCTCTTGTCTTTATTATTGGAGGGTAATTACTCCGATTTCAGCATTATTATTTAATAGCCTTTTTCTCCTTAATCACTTTGACTATATATTCTAATAATTTCTGGTATCTTTTTGTTTGTGATGAAAACTGAACTACTATTTCTTTCAGATATTTCCTTGTTTATCACAGCAAGGCATCTAAGTGTGAGTTTGTTTATACACAGTGGTTCATGATGCTTCATGGATCTTCCAATGAGTTTGTCATCAAAATTACTTCCTCCATCTATACATTTTTATCTGCACATTAGCCCACCTTTTTAACTGACTAGTTAATTGCAACAGTGTCTCTCTAGATAGTCCTGGCTGCTGTGGAACTCGCTCTGTAGACCAAGATGACTTCTAACTCACAGAGATCCACCTGTCTCTGCCTCCTGAGTGCTGGGATTAAAGGCGTGTGCCACTGCCACCCAGCCTAGATTCAGGGTTGCATTTATTTTGAGTAGGAGGTTCAAAGAAATAGGCAAGTCCCCTTAGATTTGAATCAAGTAGATCCAAGGTGGTCACACTTCTGACATGCCATGGTCTTTAGCAATGAATTAAAAATAACACTGATTATGTGTTCATTTCACCTAATACGGTGAAGTGTCTATCTAATCGACATAGACAATAAAGAAGAAACCAGTGGCAAAAGGAAGGAAAACTGGGCACATTGTAAATACGGTGAATTGCTAGACAGCATTTAACAGGAAAGGCAGATACAAAGACTGGATCTTCAGAGCAAAATTAATAGGAAGAATCAGGCATGGGCTAACATATGAATGTGATGAATTAAGAGGGATGTGCTCTGCATTTGGTAAAACAAAGAACGTGATATTAGCGTAGGGTGTGACAGTCTGTCTCCAGCTTAAGCTACATAGTGAGACTCATAAAAGAGTCAAACCATAGCAGTGTCTGAGATGGGAGAGTCTGAGTGATCACCTGCATTGCTTGCTCATTTCCTCCTGGCCGCAAGGGAGGCTGGGAGAATAAAGATGCTGATTTCATACCTACTGTCTCTCAACAACAAACCCATGTTCTCTGCGTATCGGGAATGGGATTCTGCAGGCTACGTGCCCCTTCACTGACTTCTGGCATCCTTCAAATCTGTTCTTTTTCTTTTTATTTCCCCTTAGATACCATCTCGAGGTGGCCATGCCTTTCCGCCCCCAAACCATTAGAACCCTTAAAGGTCTGAATCCAGCCACAGCACATTCTAGAAGATAGAGGCCAGGTACACACATCTCACCCTCTGTTCTTTCACAAGTATCAGCTCCAGTTTTCCTTGGGTTCCTTCCATGAACTCAGAGATTCTTCCAATCAAATGATCCCTATGCTTACAAATCTAGAAGCAATAATGCCTCAGTTTCCCTCCCTTCCTCCTACTCTACAACAATCAGTGCAACTATAAACCCCATGTTTCAAGTGCCCACTTTTGTTCCTGGGTTGTTCATTTTCTATGTCTGTATTGTTGGTGTTCCACACACACTTTGCTCCTGCCTGCAGGCCATGGTACAAGCGTGAAGGTCAGAGAATGACCTTGAGAGCTGGTCCTTGCCTTCCACCTTATTTGAGACAGGGATTCTGGACATTCACTGCTGTGGACAGAAGTTCAGCTGGCCCACATGCTTCCAGGAATTCTCCCGCTTTTGCCTCCCTTCTCCCTCTCGGAGCGCTGGGCATTTCAGACAAGTGCCTTTGTGCCTGGCGCTATTCCATATGTGTGGATCCTGGGGATTCTAAGAGAGCTATCGCTGTCTCCCAGCCCTGCTGTTTCTCTGTTCTTTACTGGATCTTGATTAATAAAGATTAAGAGTCTGGATTTTTCAGCCCTAACAGAAAAGGTGGTTTTAACTCCAAGGAAGATTCTTCAACTCCAGGAAAGAGAGTTAGATGCCAAATATTAAAATCAAAGTAACAAGTAGTCCCTAAAGGAACCTTTATTTTTTGTTTTATTTTGTTTCCCAAGACAGACCTTCTCTGTGTGACAGCTCTGGCACCATCATGCCAGCCCTAGCCACTCTTTCGGGCTAAGTTTTAGCTTATTTTGTTATGACGTGCTACTGTGTGATCTTGGAGAGCACATTTTTATTAGAACTTTCCATTTGTACACATGTAGACACAAAAGGAGTGCTTTGGTTAGTCTGGATGACCCTGTTTCCAAATTACCCAAGCTCCCTTATACATTTCTGCTTCTGGAGGCAGATCCAAGGGGAACATTAGGAGAGAAAGATGAGGGGTCCTTCATCCTGAAAACAACCAACCGTTGCTTCCCTGGGGGTGTCTACAGCAATGAGGAAGTAACACAGAGACATAGGGCCGTTCAGCACCACTGAGGTCCTTCGGTGCAGGAGTTCTCTGAGCACAGCCCCGAAAACTGCATGTTCATTCCTGAGCAGAACTAGGAACAGATCTTATCACCACAGGGCACACACTAGCCATTTCTAAGGTTCTCATTGGTGCAGGGGCAGGAACAGTTCGTTCTAGTCACTCACGTATGGCAAACCCAAGCGGGACTGAAGGATGTAAGATTGAGTCGCAGGCGCTTAGCGAATCTGGCGGGATTCCTTCAATGCCATGTTTTCCCAGAAGTGGAAAGCACTGTCTGATATCATCAGTCATTGCCCTTCCTGTTATGGAAGGAAATGCCCTGGGAAGGGACTCCCTCCGCCCTGCTCTGCCCCAGTTAGGGTGTACACTAGGATGCACTAGGGTGTTGCTATGGGCAACAATTTAAATTTGGGCCTTATTCTTTTTTCTGTGGTAATGCTTTTGTTGTGTGGAATGGATAGATGGTTGGTGCAAATGGATTTTTCTTTTTGATCCACTAGATCACAAAAATGACACAGAGACATATTAATTATGAAAGCTCAGTCTTAGCTTAGGCTTGTCCCATCAGCTCTTATAACTGAAGCTAACCCATGTCTTTTAATCTACAGTTTCCCACACATTCGTTTCCTCATCTCCATTATGCCCATCTTGGTTATTCCATGTCTGAATGGTGACTCCGCCTTTTTTTCCCAGAGTTCTCTTTGTCCAGAAGTCCCACCTATACTTTCTGCCTTGCTATTGGGTGTTTAGCTTTTTATTAAACCAATTCCAATGACACACCTTCATACAGTATAAAGGAATATTCCACAACAGGTTGGAAGTAGTCTGGGCATTTTGACTATATGAAATCTTTTTATTTATGAACTTAGATATTTTTCATATATATATATATATATATATGTTTTGTTTTTTAATTCTCCTCATAAATACTTCATGGCTTTTGGTGCATATATCTTTTAATTACCCTTTTGATGATTTGAAGAACTTTGGTTTTTTGCTTGTTTGTTTTGCTGTTACTGATGAAAACATGATTATTCTCTAAATTTCCCTCTTGTGGAACTTTATTGGTATACAGAATCACCACATATATTGCATATTCATTCTTTACTCTGAAACTTTAATAAATTTGTCTAACTGTGTGTGTGTGTGTGTGTGAAAGAGAGAGAGAGAGAGAGATCCTTAAGTTTTGTCTCTATATAGTAACATGCAAATGTGCATGCAGAGGGCTACAAACAGATGTGAGCATCAGATGTTAACAACTGCATAAAAAAAGGCTGTGAGCATCTGCACACAAAAGACTGTGAACAGACATGAACATCTGCATACATAGGGGTGTGAACAGACGTGAACATCTTTATACAGAGAGCTATGAACAGATATGAACATCTGCATACAGAGGGCTGTGAACAGATGTGAACACCTGCAGACAACAGAGGAGTTATTCAGATTCTGAGACATCAGAACTCACAGGATCCTTTATTAGGAGGAACTAGAATCTTCATAGGAATAAATGAGAGTCCTGAAAGTTGAGGTCATAGGGTCTTACACTGAGAAGGGGTCAAAGGTTAAAGGACATTACTTTAGAAGAGGTACTGGGATGAGGGAAAGAGAATAAACAAATTCAGGGGTTCTGTTGTGGGAGCAGCCAGAGTCTTAGTGGCTAAAGCTTGGCCGCTGTCAGCCAATCTGAGCAACTGTTGGGCTCACAGAACCAAGTTTCAGATTAGGAGCCAAGACCTGGAGCTTCCTGCAGCTCAACCTTATGATATCCAGGAAGACATACCTGTAAGACACAAGGGTAAGGATGGAGATGCTTGGCTTCAGTCACCGTAGGAACCAGATCTTTCAGCAAATGGATGATTTTCACATTCTTGGACAAGCAGGGAAACCAGAAGTGATGGGTGTGCTGGGCTCAGATCGCACTTTCTAATTGATAGCACTTTATACCTGTTAACTCAGTGTGGTGACCATGGCAGCTCACATGTTTTTTCTCTGAGTTAGGTCGGGTGCTCCCTGCTCCTGTGTCTTTTCTTTTCCCACTGCTCCCCCAAGACTTGAAGGCTTCCCTTTGCCCACTGTCTCCCTCCCCTCCTCTCTTTCCCAGGTCCTTCCATTTGCACCTCCAGGACTGCCCAGGCCTTGGAAAGGACTGATGCTCAGATTGCTGTTTAACTTTAGTAAAAATGCAGACTGGGGACCGTTAGCACTTACGTTTCTTGCTGCAGACAACTCTGCAGATATGTTCACTTTGGAAGTTGTTAGGATTCCCTTGGCAGCCACCATAGATGAATTCGGTACAGACCTCAGTTTCTTTATTATACCACCAGCGTGGAAAGTAAGCCAAGCAGGGGCCAGAATCCTGTGGCAGACTGCACACGTCTGTGGGGAAATCATGGGAGACAGATATTTGGATGCCTGTCTCCTCAGGAACAACCCCACCGCCTTCCTCTGTCCACTGCTCTCTTTGTCTAGCTCAGAGCTATGCTTCCGGTTCCGTGGGAATCTGACCAGTCACTTCAGCCTCTTTGGTCTTCTTTTTCTCAGCTGCAGGGTGACAACACAAAGAATCGCCTTGCTTGTCGGGACACGACCGTCCCAGGAGCAGACATGGCCATTGTCTCTCCTCAGCGTCTGAACGATGACTGCTTGAAGACGTGGTCTCATAAACGGCAAGGATGGCCGTCTCTTTCCTCTCTGCCAGGAATGGCCACCATCTAAGGTAAAACATCTCCAGTCCTCTGGACGTCAGAGGAGCTGATGCACTGGCTCAGGACAGTTATCTTCCAACCCCAAAGTCCGTGTCCTCCCTCTCCACAGCTTCTCTCTTTTGCTACTCCTAACGCTCATCCTTTCGAATCATCCTTGAAAGTCAGCCTACTCCCCAGTCTCCGCGCCTTCACACCTGCTCAATGCCCGAGCTGCTCTGGCTAGCACGGCACACTCTATTCATTCTTCAGAACCCTTCCAGTAGCCAGGTAAGGTGGCATTTGCCTGACATCCTAGCACTTGGGAAGCTGAGGCAAGAGGATTGCAGTGATTTCAAGGCTGCCCTGAACTATACAGAAGACCATGTCTACAATATCTAAACACTACCAGCATCAATGCCTTTCTGATGTCTCCTGGGTCCATGCTTTATCTCTTGATTTTAATGCATCTATTTTATGTCTGTGGTGAAGATTTATTGTGGATTTATCCATATTTTCTGACTGCTGGAGAACTGAGTTCTTCGTGAGCAAATACTGTACCTTAGCCTGGTACAGCTGTTCTGAGCAGATCTTTGGCAAGAAATGGATGTTTCAGGAATGTTCTCAGAAATAAATAAACAAATGAAGGAAGGAAGGAAGGAAGGAAGGAAGAAAAGAAAGAAGGAAGAGAAGAAAGATCCCAAACTTAAGCACTTAATGAACAACTGATTTCACCACTGAAAAATACCATTACAATCACGCAAGTTTAGCTATTAAAGTGTTGGTCATGGGTCTTGGCCTTTGACACATGTTGACATTTCCTCTGGTGTGCAGCCCTCATTCTGTTCTCATTGTGTAGGTAGAGGGTATGAGACTTGGAGAGGTGAAGTCAGTCCCTGATGGCACACACCAGAGAGGGAGTTAAGTGTAGATGAATCACCAGATATGGTGGTGTGTGCTTAGAACCCCAGACACCCAAAGGCTGAGGCAGGAAGATGTCAAGGTTGAGGTCAGCCTTAATTGCCGGATTCAGCAACCAGAACCTGAGTAGACCACAGTCGGGGGTTAGGATCACAGGGAGGATCACATCTGGATGTCCGAGTGCTCTCTGAACCCACCTCCCAGTATTTCCACGCCTGATCACATGCCTCCTAGCACAGGGTTTTCCCGTGAGCACTTGCTGGTGTCTGGAAGGCTACTCCTCCCTTGTTTCCCTGCACACTACCTGTCCTTCAGATTCCAAGTCCTATATGGCTTCCCCAGGAAATGCTTTGGTGGCCTCATTGAGGAGCCCATCCTGGGTGTCACGAGCACCCGTAAATATTTGCTGGTTGATAAAATGGATGAGTAGTTTTGAGGGTCTTGTGTGGAACTCAAGGACGTGAGCAGAGAGAAAAAGAGTATAGGAGGCTAAGGCGATGAGGGGAGGCATCCTGGGTTTTATGTCAGCCCGAGGTGTGGACAAAGAAGCCCGGAACTCCCGACACCTGTCTCATGCTCATCCTACACTCAGATGCACCGTTGCTGCTTGATGAGACGTGGAGACTTGGAGAGCTACTTGGCATCTCAGAACAGCACCTGAGTGTAGCCAAGGGGTCACATGACCCAGTACCCAGCTGTATCTTAAGAAGAAATGAGGTTCAGAAAGGAAAAAGAACCTCCGTCAGATCCTTTACTCAAATAGATGCCAACTTTTTCAGGACAGGTCCCTGTGGCCCGTACCTACAAGATCTGCATCAGGCAGAAGATGCCATGGGGGTCTCGGTGAACACCAGCCCTCATGAAGGGGTGGGGAAACCTGAAAGCAGGGGGCTAGGGGCAGCTCATGGTCGGAGAGGTACCTTGTCTGAGGTCTAAGCATTTCTTGCCACAGCTGAACATGCAGCATCTCTTCTTGTTGGGACAGTGTCTGTGCCTTGTGCATTCGTTTCTTTCTTCAGTTTCGCACTTTATTCTGACTCTGGGGCATGTTTCTGTAGGAGGAAAAGATGTGGTCCCTTGAGGAGTTGAAGGAGATATTGTTCTTCCTTCCTGGGTCTAGGGTACCACTGCAGAGCTGAGGAAGCCTGTTGGCTCCTCACCTGTCACTAGGAGAGGCAACCCTCAGGGGCTCAGGATTTTCACAGCACTGGCCCCATCGCCCCCTGCAGCGACTCAGCACCTAATCCCCAGAACCTTCTCCAGTCCTCTCTCCACCCCTACTAGATTCCTCAGAGAGGGACCTGCTCCATTGGCTCCTGTAGCTCAGTGTCTGCCTAGATTGTCATCCTGAAGGCTAATGGAACAAAGTTTGAAAAGCCTTGGTCAAGATGTCTGGGCTAAAAGAACAGTGATTACTACCGATAAAGACTTCCTGAACCCTTGGCCTTTGTCCTTCCTCCTCAGTACACAATTCTGAGTAAGCCCTGTCAGTGTCCCAGAGAGCGAGCAGAGGCATCCAGAGCATGGGAGGCTCTGTGGACTTGCGCAGGGTCACACACCTCTCGAGGAGTGGACCTGGTTTTGCTCCTGTCACACGTCCTCCTGATCACTCACTTTACCCACGACCTTCAAGTGCTCAGTGTGTTTTAGCTGGTAAGGATGAAATCTCCCTGCTTCACCATCTGAAGGGACCCTGGAGGCTGTTCTTCAGCACACAGGTAAGGTCCTGTGGATACAGGAAAGCTTTGGGGAGCTGCAGTGGGCAGGCGAGGAAGCTGCTGGGGTGGTGCTAGGGAGAGGCTCATCCTAAGTGGAAATTCTTTTGTCTATTTAATTCCCAATATCCTTTTAATGCACACCAGTCCTGGCACCTCTATGAAGAATGCCTTATAAAGGTGGGGAGTCAGCTGTCATAGACAGAGGCCCCTGTGTCACCCAGGGCACCTCTCCAGGATGATGGGGAAACAGTGACCCCAAACATCTCACTCCCACCAGGGTCTGGGACTGGGAAAACCCTCTCATCTGCAGTGTGTTTTGTTCTTTGACCCCATCAAACTACTTCTCTCCATATTAAGAACTGTACCCCAGTACTTACTCGTAAAGAACCCCTCCGCCAGCTCAGGTTCCTGGATGCCCCACAAGAAGATGAAGGGAACCAGGAATGGCAGAAGTTCCCAGAGTCTCATCTTAAGAAGCAGTTGTCTGGCTAGAGGCATTAATCTGGGTGGAACTGGTCAGTGGCTCCGGCTTCTGCTCTGAGGCTCTGTGCCCCAACTGTCAAGGAAGCAACTCTGGACACGAGCCAGTCATGTTCCCTCCCGGAGGCCATCCGTGGCCTAGCTGTACCCACAGTCACACTGTGGAGGAAAGGCCTCTGACTCTCTGGTCTGGGCCTCTGCAAACTGAGGTCTCTGGCTCTCTGGCCTACTAGGGAAAGGGGTGCACTTGCTTGGAGTCTTCTAGAATCTCTTAGCAAGGTTATGTGATTCCAGAACCTTCCTTTTCCAGGGGCAAATTGGCATTTGGGAATACCCTAGTCCTTTTTCTCTGTGATTCCTCTCTTCTTCAGGAACTAGCTCTTGTAGACCAGGCTGGGCTGGAACTCACAGAGATCCACCTACCTCTGCCTCCTGAATGCTGGGATTAAAGGCGTGCACCACAGCCCAGCAATGCTTTCTTTCTCCTGCCTCCTTCCCCCTCATCCTCCCTTCTTTCTCCATTTACTCCTCTCTCCACCCATCTCTCTTTTGAGACAGGATCCC